GGCAAATGTTCTTTTTGCAGGTTAGCCCATATGTGTTCTCAGACTGTGCGTATTTGACCTCTTTGAACCTCTCGCATAATCATATCTCGCAGTTGTTCCATGATTCACTGACTAAATGTCCTATGTTGAAAAGGATCGATCTGTCGGACAATCGTTTGGGTGAGACTTCTATAGATCATTCGTACTCTTCTTTTTGAAAATCTTCGATTTTATGGGGAATTAAAATGAAAAAGGTTAACTTTTCCTCTTAAGAATCGTTGGCGGATGCCCTATCTCAAGCATCTGCCGTACGTCGACTGGATGTATCGCGAAATCGTTTAGAGCTCTTACAATGGGAAGAGCTTCCTCCTCGTCTGGAACACCTCATGGCTGATTCCAACGTCATTACGCTGTTAGGAGCAGCCATCAAATCCAAGTTTGTTGCTATTTTTATTTTCGAGAATATCCATTTTTCCAACTTTATTCTCATAGTAGTGATATCCTAATAACAGCCATTTTTAATTACATCTTTAACAAGTCCACTCAAATTTAGTTTCTCGCGTAGATCACTCAGTGCTGTCGTATTTAAAGGAAAATTCAATAATGACTATTTTCATGACTAGATAAAGAAAAACCATCTTTTGACTGTTAACAGAAAAGTCGTGTATACAATTTTACTAATTCAAATAATTCTGCTTTTTTTGCTAATTCAGATAACTGTGCTTTTAAAAAAATTAATTTATTTTGATTTTTACAGAGTACGCACCGCTTCGTTACGTGGAAATCGCATCGAACAACTGTCCGCTGATCAAATTCCGGACACTATTGAAATTCTGGATATGTCAGCGAACCGAGTGCAGCACATCGCTGCGACAACCTTTGCTGCAAAAACAGCTTTGCGATCGCTCGATTTAAGCAACAATCGCTTGTCACAGCTTTCTGAAGAATCGGTGATTGCCAATGGAGTGCATAGTATCGATGTCACCTTACGGGGAAATCCACTTCGATGCACTTGTGAACTACACTGGATCCGAAAACCAGAAGTTGTAAGTTTGGCTTTTTTCTGCCGGAGATTGTGAAATCTAACAGACCTTTATAGATTAAACGGAAGGTAAATATTGTTGGCATAGCAGAAACCTTGTGCACTCACCCAGTTACTGGAAAAGTATTAGCACTGGACAAGGTGGATTCAAAGGATTTGCTCTGCGAATATTCACAGGTGAGCGAATTTCACTTGAATTAACTGCAATTCTACTTTTTCGCAATTTGAAGGGAACACCTGTACGAGAGTGCTAAGTATCAATCTCTTCACGACTTGAATTGACAAATTTGCCTGTTTTGTTTAGGAAAATCTGTTTGAATTTATATTGAAAAATTGTTATGAATTCAGATTTCATGGAAAAAAATTATTTAGGCCCAGTTAAAAACTTGGGATTTTAATCTATTTGTCGCTCTGATTTCACTCTAAGTTATCCAAAGATAAGGAAAAATTTTCTATCTAGAAAAAAAGTTTTTCGCTATTTTTAAGTAAGGGTGGAATTGACATTTTATGATGTACATTGAAAATATCCTAAGCAACTCATTTTCTGATATTCTTAGTGATAATAACCTTATGGGAAATTGGGTAATTATTTAAAACAAGTATCTCGTACATCTTTACAGCTCTGATAACTGAAAGTTTTTATCTCCCTACACAGTGATACTTTAGCAATACTATAGGTCATTTTCATCGTTTACGAACAAACTCTAGCCGCTTTGTAACTTTGACGTTGCAAACCAATAGAACAAGAATTTTTTTTTGGCATCCCACTATTCAACTCCGAAATCATAGTTAAATCCAAAATATAAAAGACTGGAAGTTTGTTAATATGAAGAAGACATAGGATTTACTACAATGTCATTTTTCAGGAGATTGAATATGAAGGAACTACAATGGTTTTTAAATAATTTTTTGTGTAGTATTTTCCGATTTTAAGTTTTGCTTATGTAGAGGGAATATTCTGACTTTTGATTTTTCCCAAAGCGGTTGAGTACACCTTAATGGTTTCTAGGTTTGTGAGCCTGACTGCGTATGTTGCCAATTTGGCAATTGTGACTGTAAAGCTGTATGTCCAACTGGTTGTGCATGCTTCCGAGATGCTTTGTTCGAAACGAATGTGGTACGCTGCGAGAACCTAACTGAAACTGATATGAAGGTAAGCCTATCCTTCCATGGATATGAGTGGGGACCAATTCTCAGCGGTTAACTCAAATTTTCTAGGCCTTCACACCTTCTGCAGTTCCCATATCAGCTACACATGTGTATCTGTCTGGGCTCACTATTCCAATTTTACGAAGTCACTCATTTCTTGGACGACCTCGGCTCGAACATCTCCATATCAACGCTTCTGGAATCCGTGGAATTCAACCAAAGGCATTTAATACTTTGCCAAAACTCAAAGTAACTTTTTTTTGTTGATTTTTATTTGCCTGCACATATTCTCGTTTGCTTTATTATTCGTTTAATTGGATTTGGCTTTTCAGTTGCTGGATTTGTCCGAAAATGCCCTTGTGCGCCTTTCTGGTGACGAATTTCATAAAGCATCGGCGGTTTCGCATTTGTTTCTCAATGGAAATCGTTTGCGGACTATTGAACGAGGATTGACAGAGAAACTTCCGTTATTGACAACGGTAATTGTTTACGTATACAAAGTTCAGCTTTTCGTACACAAGAAAATTTCGATAAAGCCATCTGCATTTTTTCATGACTATACCATTAGGGTCGTATCTTAGTCTATCACTGGGATAGTTGAATCATCTGCTTACTTTCGTAAAACTCTCATCAAGTTTTTTTGCCTTCATTTGGACTTTTCAACATTATAAATCGTTCTCATTCCTGATTTCATCGGATTCCAAAAGATTCGTCTTTTTAGGTTACACTGCACAACAATGACCTCACCGACATCTCACCAACGTTAGCGACGTCTGGTGTGCGATCTTTGTCGCTGTCAGGCAACGCGTTCCGCTGCGATTGCACCCCGCGATTCTCGGCACCGACGTGGATACACGAGAATCGCGACAAAGTTGTTGATATGGATCGTGTACGATGTGTAGAGAATGTCACCGAGTCGTTTCGTAACAATGACACTACAGTATTATCGGCGTACCCGCCTAATGTTGGTCACGATATCTTTATGATGCCCATGGAAGGTTCGTTCAGTCAATTCTATCGTCATATGTAAGCTTAGTTATTTACAAAGGAAAAACGAGACCTTATAGTGGTTCCAGACACATTTTTGGTGTTCAAACTTGATGTGCCCACCGTAAAAAATCCTAGAAAAACATCTCTTGCAATACAATGAAACTTATTGGTCAAAAATTGGTTTATAGTTTAGCCAGAACACTACAAAAATTGAACAAATGAGAAATCGAATGTTTCAAGTCACCTTAGCACACTCTTTTTCAGAATTTCTGCGAGATTTCAATCGCACCATATGTGTGCCAGCAGCTTCCGGATTCTTTGGGCAGGAACCGCAAAATTCCATCCTAACAATTATTTTTCTGACTTCATGTGCCTTCCTTCTTTGTGCAATGACTCTACTTGGAGTTTCCCTAGTCAAAAAAGCACACAACGATCTAAGTCAGAGGAGGTTTGTCGATTATTTGTATATCTTGCAGGTGTTGTCTTATAGCCATCTGTTTAGATACAAGGCGTCTTCATCACTGAACTGCTCGTCGACGCCAGGATCTTCTCCTCTGCCGGTTCCTCTTTTGAATTTTGACGCTTTTGTCAGTTATTCAAAGAAAGACGAAAAGATGGTTTTGGAGCAACTGTGTCGGTCCGTTTGGCAATCTTTCGTTTCCCCATTAAAAAGATTTTATAAACTTGTAAAGATTATTGTTTTAGACCCTTAGAAGATGAAGAGTATGTGCTTTGCCTGTTACATCGCGATGGTCCTGCGTATCATTCTCGATTACATGCCATATCTGATGAGCTCATCTCACAAATGGAGGCATCTCAGTGCCTTGTGATAGTGCTAACAAAGAATTTTCTGGAAAGCGAATGGAAAACACTGCAAGTGAAGGTGAGCTCTTGATAACCTGCGTTTTTCGTTTCTTATAACCCATAAATTACGGAAAAAACTGCTTCATAAACGAGTATTTTGTTACTTCTTGTGTAAAAAGACACTGTCAACTTACGTTGTCACTCTGTGCGTCCCTATTTCCTCTTTATACATCTAGCTTTCACATCATACATATGCTTTCTTTACATCTCGCAAAAGACTGGTTTCTGCGCATTAGTAGTACTTACTCGGTCAATCTTTTCTTAAACACAACACTACAGTTATTTTTTTTCTAGACGTCACATCAGTTGTTTGCGAAGAATCGAGGAAAACGAGTGATCGCAGTACTGGGCGAGGGGGTCGACCAGAATTTGCTCGACGAGGAACTTGGCCAAATTTTGAGGAAAAACACCTGCATCCGTCAACGGGACCACCTATTCTGGCAGTTGTTGCGCAGTGCGCTGCCAACACGTCTGTCGAGTCTTCCTGGGAGTGGAGACGACTCCTCTCAGATCTACTCGGACATGTATGGCATTGTACCATCGGCAGTGATCTAGCCTTTACTATGCCTCAGGATTGTCCCTTTCCATAGTTCTTGTCGTATTCGGCTGGGGTGCTCCATAAACGGGTCT